CCTGGGGCTCCCCGGCACTCGCACCTGCTCCTCCTGCCTGCGCACCCACCCCCGCCGTCCTTTCTCACCGGGACCTCTTGCCCCACTGAAGGGCCCTGCTGTGTCTGCCGAGGAGAGCAGCGTCCCAGCAGGCCTCGGGGCCTCTGGCGACTGGCCGAAGCAGTGTTTGCGGTTCTCGTGCCATGGGTGGGAGTCCGCTTCCTCTAGTTTGGGCAGCTGTGCTGCCTCTGGATGGGCCACTCCTGCCAGGGCTCGGGGGCTGTGGTCTGCTCAGGGTCTCCCCTTCTCCCAGGCCAAGCTCAAGGCAGCGGCCCCTTGTGAGAAGCTCCAGGCTTACCAGGGAGAACTTGAAACCTGTCTGCACGTGGGGGCATTTGTACTCTGGGTGCAGGTGCCCGGGTTCTGCTAATGAGAGTGTTGTCTTATCTTTCTGGGGCTCCATCAGTTTGTCCATTTGTCCATCTGCCATCCCCTGCCTCTTGGGATCCTCCCCCTGGGGTGCAGCCTTGTTCATTAGTAAATATTGATTTCCTTCGTTCTTCCCTGGGCAAAATATACTCTTTCCCATCTTTGAAGTGGGTGTTTGCCCCGGGCCCTTCTTCAGCAGGTGCGGCCTTTTCACAGAGAACCGGGAGCAGAACCACCTGCAGGAGGCGGCCCCTGCTGGCCCAGCACCCTCCCTGCAGCCTGGACCGCGGCCCCTCCACACTGACACTGGTGCAGCAAGGGCTGGACAAGGGATCCCTTCCTTCCCATGGTTTTAGTTTTTGCTGCCAGCCCTTAATGGCACAGAGCCCTGCCACCTCTAACTCGTGCCCAGGAGGTGACACTGCAATCACCTAACCATTGCCAAGGTTAGTGCCCTCACCTCCAAGCCTAGGACCACTGTCGTCACTTTGGGCATGTCCCTGTTTGGGCATTAGAGGTTAAGCTTGCTAGCCTGTGTGTCTGTGTGAGGCCTTGGTGACCAATGGACTCGTCTCCTGGTTCCTTAGATGCAGCCTCACACCTCTGAATAGGCTCCTGGGTGGATCCATTTCTCAGCCCTCTGACCCTGGAGCCAGTGGTGGGCAGGTCCCTGTTCCTTGGGGCTGGGAGGGAGAGCTTGCCTGTTTCTGGGCGGTAAAGACCTCCCATCCTGCACCATTCTGTGGCTTTGGCTATAGGGACAGTGGCCCTTCTTTAGTGTAGTCAGTCGTTCCCTGGCCGGGCAGAGGTTGAGACACAGGGCCACTTGAGAGACCTTTGAACCTCTCCCCCCAGAGGGGTGCTGTGCCTCTGAGTTCTGTACTTGGGGAGCAGAGGGCCTGGGATTTGCTGCTTCTCCCCACCCTGTGGGTCCCCTGTTTTCAGCACTTCTGACACTTGGAGACCCAGCCCTGTTACCTGGAGGGCGACGGGCATGTGTGTACGGGCACATGTGCTCCGCCACCTCCCTTCCACTGCTCTGCCAGACCCTGCCCCTGCCAGGCCCTGCCTTTTCAGCCCCTACTTGGGACCAAAGTGCAACGTGGGATCACGGCTGGGGCACTCAAGTGACCCCTCTATAGTGCTTCCTTGGGCCAAGTGACACCAGCCCCCTGAGGGGTGGGATCGGGTGGTGCTTCAAGAGGAAGGGGACCAGTATAGCAATTTGCCAGGGACCCCACCCCTCCCTTACACTGGGATCTGTGCAGTGAGCCTGGGGACCCCGCCAATGGGGCCAAAGGCCTAGGCTAGTTCAGTAGCTCCTGTTCACTTGCTCACACCTGGCCACGTGCACGCCCTTTATATGCAGATTGCTTTGAACTTGAAAGCTGTTGTGCTGAGTTAAAAAAACGGTTTAATGAGGAGAAAAAGTTGGAGAACCCTGGGAGAATCCTTTTGCTTCTCCTGGAACTGTAAGGCTTCGCCTCTGGGAACCGCTTTCTTGCTCCACTTTCCTATCCTCGCCACCGGAAGCCTGCTCCAGGTTTCGTCCCAGCGCAGATGCGCGTTTTCCGGACGTTTCGTGCGGGGGAGGGCGCGCTGGGGCTTGGGCCGAGCCGCCCCTTTCTGTACATCCAGCGCTGCCCGCCCCGCTTGTGTCTGAGGTCGTGTATGTCAAAATAAAGCCGCTAGAAACTTAGTCGTGTCCGTCTTTGTGAAGAACCTGCGGCTTCCGGAAAACAGGCGGCCCCCGCCCTCACTGGCTCTTCCTGGGACGGGCGGGAAGGGGGCCGCGGGCGGCGGCGGACTCTGCAGGAGCCGGCAGGGAAGGCGGCCTCGCCCTTGGCGCCAGTTCCGCCTTTGGAGCCACCAATGGCCAGCTGACCCGCGGGTCCCGGGCGCGGTCCCCATGGCAGCCGGGCGCGCTCCGGCTCTCATTGGTTACGCTCGCCGGAGCCGCGCCCCAGCGCTCCTCCGCCCGCGGCGGTGCCACGTACGCGGTCGCCGATTGGCCCGCCTGGGTTACGTCATCGCCGGCCCGGGGCCTGCCTCACTGTGGAGCCTGCGCCTCTCCAGCCGGCCTTACGTCCTGGTTTGTGGCGCCCCGGATTTCGGCGTCGGGGCGTCCTGGGTGACCGGACAGACCCAGCGTTGGTCGGTCTGGCAGGTGAAGGGCACGGGTCAGGCCCGGCGGCGGGAGCGAGCGGCAGGAGTCGGCCAAGCAGGCCGCCAACACCGTGGAGCCGGGCCTGAGTCTCCAGCCGCCCGCCCGCCCGCTGGCGCGATGAAGGCACTGATCTTGGTAGGCGGCTACGGGACGCGCCTGCGCCCGCTGACGCTGAGCATCCCGAAGCCCCTGGTGGACTTCTGCAACAAGCCCATCTTGCTGCACCAGGTGGAGGCTCTGGCCGCGGTAAGGCCGGGGGACGTGGCAGGACGAGGGACGGCCAGCGATTTGGGGTGGGGGACACCCATGGCTCTGGCTAAGCCCACCTGTCTGCCGGTATTACTCTGTCCGACAGGCAGGTGTGGACCACGTGATCCTGGCCGTGAGCTACATGTCTCAGGTGCTGGAGAAGGAAATGAAAGCGCAGGAGCAGAGGGTGAGGCTTAAGTCAACTTTTGGCCCTTCCCTCGGTCCCCACTCAGCTTCTCACGCCGGTGGGAGGAACCTAACTGGGGCTTTTACCTTCCAGCTAGGAATCAGAATCTCCATGTCCCATGAAGAGGAGCCTTTGGGGACAGGTCAGTGGAGAGGGGAAGGCCCCTTGGGAGGAGTTTAGGGCAGGGGTGTGAAACTCGTTTTAACCGGGGGCCACACCAGCCTCCAGGCTGCCTTGAATGTAAGTTTAGGGCTGTGTACGTGTAACTGCTCCTTCACTGGGGGCGAGGAGCTCGGCACTGCTGCGGGGTGGAAACAAGGTGCTGGGCGGCCCGCGGGCCTTGTGTTTGCCCCCTGTGGTTTAGGGCGGGGAAAGGAGTAAGACCCAACCTGGAGCCTGGATCCAGGGCTCACCCCCCTGGGGGAAAATGACCTGTTTGTCCCCCCAACCCCGACAGCTGGACCCCTGGCACTGGCCCGTGACCTGCTCTCTGAGACCACAGACCCCTTCTTCGTCCTCAACAGTGATGTCATCTGCGATTTCCCTTTCCAAGCCATGGTGCAGTTCCACCGGCACCACGGCCAGGAGGGCTCCATCCTGGTAAGGGTCAGGTCTGTCTTCTCTGACGCTTCCACCTCCCACGTCCAGCCTCCCTTATATTGTGGGCGCAGAGCTGTGCAGGCTGGAATTTGGGGCACGGCCCCTGAGAGGCAGGACCGGGTGTACGTCGGGGTTCGGGAATGCTGGACTAGGCCTGGGGTCCCCCTGCCCTCAGGTGACCAGAGTGGAGGAGCCCTCCAAGTACGGCGTGGTGGTGTGCGAGGCGGACACGGGCCGCATTCACCGGTTCGTGGAGAAGCCGCAGGTGTTCGTGTCCAACAAGATCAACGCGGGCATGTACATCCTGAGCCCCGCCGTGCTGCGGCGCATCCAGGTGCGTAGCCGCGGCTCTCGGGGGGCCGGGGCGGGGCAGGCTGCCGCCACCGTGACCCTGCTCACGAGCTGCCTGCCCCCACAGCTGCGGCCCACGTCCATTGAGAAGGAGGTCTTCCCCATCATGGCCAAGGAGGGGCAGCTGTACGCCATGGAGCTGCAGGGTGAGGCAGGAAGGCCACGGGGCGGGGGCGGGCCGCAGCTGGGCTGAGCCCCTGATGCATTTCCCCCCTGCAGGCTTCTGGATGGACATTGGGCAGCCCAAGGATTTCCTCACCGGCATGTGCCTCTTCTTACAGTCGCTGCGACAGAAGCAGCCTGAGCAGCTGTGCTCGGGCCCTGGCATCGTGGGCAACGTGCTGGTGGTGAGGCCCTCGCCCAGCCCATCGTTAACCCCTCAGTCCTGGGGGACAGGCGGCCCACCTGTGTTTTCCCCACTGCCCTCAGGATCCAAGTGCCCGCATCGGCCAGAACTGCAGCATCGGCCCCAACGTGAGCCTGGGCCCCGGTGTGGTGGTGGAGGACGGCGTGTGCATCCGGCGCTGCACGGTGCTGCGAGACGCCCACATCCGCTCCCACTCCTGGCTTGAGTCCTGCATTGTGGGCTGGCGCTGCCGTGTGGGCCAGTGGGTAAGCCTCCGGGCTGGGTCGGAGGGGGAGGGGGCGGGCAGTGTGCCTGCCTCGCTGACAGGGCCTGCCCTCCCCCCCCCAGGTCCGAATGGAGAATGTGACGGTGCTGGGCGAAGACGTCATCGTGAACGATGAGCTCTACCTCAACGGGGCCAGCGTGCTGCCCCACAAGTCCATCGGGGAGTCTGTGCCGGAACCTCGGATCATCATGTGAGGGCTGCCGTGGGCTGCCCGAGCCCGTTACCGGCCAGGGGAGCACCGGCCCGACACATCGGAAGGCCCTGGACCCGCTGCCTCTTCTCCGGGGAGGCTGGGACGAGGCCAAGACTGTCGGGCACCTGCCTTCTCCTGGGGACAAAGTCTGGCGGGACCCTTGCTGGGCACACCCCACGAGGCCCACTCCCTCAAGAAGGGCCGGGCCCGGGCTGTATGGAATAATAATTTAATGCTCACTGTGGCCCCGACTGAGAGTCAAGCTCAGGCACAACGAGGGTGTGGCTGGGCTCCCACCGCTGAGGTTGCGCACAGACAGGAAGGTGGGATGGGTGGTGGGAGGTGTGGGGGCTGGCAAGGGGCGCTCGTAAATAGGGCCCAGCCTGGGCCTGGGCTCTCGCGGAGGCCCCTGCTGTGGGGACCAACCTAGGCAGCTGAGGAAGTGGCACTCGAGTTGGCTGCCTTGTCCCAGTCCTCTACAGACACGATGGTGGCTTTGCAGAAAAAGCAGTCCTTATTGTTCATCAGGTGCTGGTTGATGCAGGCTCTGCAACAGGAGGGGATGGAGGTGGCCAATGTGTCCCTGCTATTTCCCCTGCCCCGCCCCGTCCCGCCCCCCACACCCACAGGGCCCACGTACTTGCAGGATTTGTGGCCACAGGGCTGGAACACAGCAGAAATGGGGTGAGCGTAGCAGATGGGGCAGAGGTCCTCCTCGCTGGTGGGCTGCAGGGAGCAGAGGGCGAGGGGGCTGGGGTTGGTTGCCCAGGCAAGTGGGTGTACACAATGCGCACACACTGTCTTGCACTCGGGTGCCGGGTACGGCCTGTGCAGTAGCCCCACTCACCAGGGAGGCGGCTGCCGCCTGGGCAGATGCAGAGGTCAGGTGGGCCAGCATCTGTTCCACCTGGGCCAGCTCCTCAGCACTGATGTAGTCTGGATCTGGGGGCGGTCAGAGGGGTCAGGCCAAGTGTGGCCCTAGAACCAAGTGCCTCAGCACCCCCAGCCTGGAAGTTAGCTCTTTTTGAGACTGGTGGCCTGGCCCAGCCCCTCTCCCCGGACCCACCCTGGCCAACTCACAGCTCTGTAGGGAAAAGCGCTTCCGGTCAGGGGCAGGCAGGGCGGTGCCAGGAGCAGGGGGTTCCGGCTGCCCCAGAAGGTAGCAGATGGAGCGGAGCTGGAAGCAGGGGTCGGCCAGCAGCACTGATGTGGCTCTCTCTGTCCTAGTGGGGGGGGAGGGGTGATGTGAGGAGTTAGGAGGCTGGGACCTGTCTGAGAGCATTAGCTATTGGGGGTGAGGGGTGGGGAATGACACCCAACCTCCCCAGAAGTCCTAAATCCCAGTAAGGACCCACAGCTGGGGTACCAGTTTAAGGAGGCACAGGTGCCACCAGAAGGTAGTGCGAGCCCACCTGCCCCCTGACACACATTAGCCCTTTGAAGGGAACAGCAGCTGAAGGGCTTGCTTGCCAGGCTGCCCTGCTACTGTTCAGAGAGATGGGCGCTGCAGGAACCTGGCGACCAAGCGCAGGCTGAGGCATTGGGGCCAGAGTTACACCCCCTCTGGCGGCCACGGGGTAGCCTTGCTCCCGGGGGCGTGGCTACCCCGCCCCCTCCAGCAGGAGCCAATGGGAGCCCGATGCTCCGCCCCTGAGTAATTGGCTCCGTGAGAGTATTTAGGAGCGAAGTGTTCACGGAAAAACTCGGGAGAGCTGGGGAGACCCGAGAAGGGAGTGAGTGCTGAGAGCAGCGCGGGGGGGCCCCAGAGCAACCTGGAACTGGGGACCGGGAGCGGCCAGCCGTCGGGGGCGACTTCACATCCTGCCTTCCCCGCCATCGGCCTTTCAGCGCCACCCACGTTGAGCCGGGGCAGAAGGGGGCGAGTCCCGGCGCTGCGACCCGCGTAGAGTTACTGGTCCCACCCCAGGTCATCCCCGCCATGGCCTGGCTGGCGCTGCTGGGCGCACTGCTGTGCACGCTGCCCGTCGGATCAAGCACCCTGGACTCCGAGACCTTATTGAGCCCCACGCCCCATAACTGCCCCTACAATTGCACCTGTGCCGCCGACCTGCTGAGCTGCGCGGGCCTTGGGCTGCAGGACGTGCCAGCCGAGTTACCTGCGTTCGCTGCCGACCTCGACCTGAGCCACAATGCGCTCCAGCACCTGCCGCCCGGCTGGCTAACACCCCTCTCCCGGCTGCGCGCCCTGCGCCTGGGTCACAACGAGCTGGAAGCGCTGAGTCGCGGAGTCTTTATCAATGCCAGCGGCCTGCGGCTGCTCGATTTATCATCGAACGTGCTGCGGAGGCTTGGCCGCCACGACCTCCACGGACTGGGGGCACTCGAGATGCTGCTTCTGTTCAATAACCGCCTGGCGCACTTGGACGAGCTCGCCTTCCGGGGCCTGGGCATGCTCCGCCGGCTCTACCTCGGCAGCAACGAACTGGCCAGCTTCTCTTTCGACCACCTGCACGGTCTAAGTTCCACCCACCTCCACACCCTGGATCTCTCCTCCAACCACCTGGGGCAAATCAACATACCCGGCCTGGCGGCGCTGCCGGCCTTTCTCAAGAACGGCCTTTACCTGCACAACAACCCGCTGCCCTGCGACTGCCGCCTCTACTACCTGCTGCAGCGGTGGCACCAGCGGGGGCTGAGTGCTGTGAGCGACTTTGCACGCGAGTACACGTGCCTGGCTTTCAAGGTGCCCACATCGCGCGTGCGCTTCTTTGAGCCCAGCCGCATCTTCGAGAACTGCTCGGCCGCCCTGGCTCGGGGCCTGGAGCAGCCCGAGGAGCAGCTGCAAGTGCAGGTGGGTCAGCCCCTGAGGCTGCACTGCAACACCAGCGCCCCCGCCCTGCGCGTGGCCTGGGTCTCCCCGCAGCACGAGCTGCTGGTGGCGCCAGGGTCCCCCAACGGCAGCATCGCGGTGATGGGCGACGGCAGCCTGGCCATCAGCAGCGTGCAGCCGTGGCACGAGGGTGTCTTTGTGTGCCTGGCCACCGGGCCCCACCTGCGTCACAACCAAACACACGAGTACAATGTGAGCGTGCATTTCCCGCACCCGGAGCCCGAGGCCTTCAACACCGGCTACACCACGCTGCTGGGCTGCGCCGTGGGCCTGGTGCTGGTGCTGCTCTACCTGTTCGCCCCGCCCTGTCCCGGCTGCCGCCGCTGCTACCGCCGCACCTGCCGCTGCTGGCCCCGGGCGCCCAGCCCGCTCCAGGAGCTGAGCGCACAGTCCTCGGTGCTCAGCAGCACGCCCCCCGACGCGCCCAGCCGCAAGGCCAGCGTCCACAAGCATGTGGTCTTCCTGGAGCCGGGCAGGAAGGGCCTCGACGGCCGTGTGCAGCTGGCCGTCGCCGAGGACTTCGACCTCTACAACCCCATGAGCCTGCGGCTCAAGGCCACCTCGGAGTCCACCAGCTCCACAGGCTCTGAGGGGCTGGTGATGACCTAAGCTGCCCGGGGCCCCTGCCTGGGTCACCGTCTGCCTGCTGCTCGCCCCGCACCCTGCTGCCGTGCAGAGTACCGCCAGGGGCCGGTGGGGAGCACGGGCTGGGTCCTCCAGCCGCCGGAGTGGGCCTCCACCTACCTGCTCCACAGTAGCCCCACCCACTGGTGGGGGGGGTTGGGGTCCCCGACCACCCCCTCCTGTCTCACCTCAGCACAGGGCTGCCTGCACCCCCTTCCCTTCGGGTGTGAGGACTGGAACCAGGGCCTACCTGGGACAGCCCTCGCATTGGAGCCCCGGGGCACCCTCAGGGGCCGAGGCAGCCACCCAGGAGGGGTGGGAAGGGCTGAGGTATCAGCAAGCTCCCCTCCCCAAGGAAACGGCAAGGGAGCGGGCACCGAGAGAAGGGGGAGGGCTTCAGAGGAAGACCTGGCCCCCACCCACAGGCCAGGAGGAAGAAACGAGCCCTCCGCTGGTGAGAGCAGACTCCACCCACCAATATCCAACCTGCTTCCAGTTCCCAAATCCACGCAGGGTCCGGTGGGTAGGCGTGAGGCTCCTCCGCAGACCCCAGAGGTCTGTCCGGGGCCCAGCCAGGGTGGCCCTGCTGCCTCTGAGGCCAGGTGCATCACTGGCCACCCTGTGGACACAGCCTCTCCCGCGGGCTCACGGACAGCAGTCGGGGGCACTGTGGCCGGCGCCCCCAGCTTGTTAGCAGTGAAAAGCCTGCTGAGCAATGGCCCAGATGGGAGGGCGGGGCCGGGCTGCCCTGTCCCTTGGGGGGAGAAGCCTCTTAAGGGCTGGCACCAGTCTCAGTCTAATGACTTTGTGCGGCTCTCACCCCCTCCTACTGCTGCAGGGAGGCAGGGAGGGGGCTGGGAACCCCTCCTGTGTGGGGGCTGAGCTGGGGACCCCCAGAGGGCCCTGAATCTGGTTGTCACGGAGTTTCTTAATAAAGATAGCTCATTGCCAGAGTCTTCGAAAGTGCAGGTAACAGTGTGTACACGCGGCTCGTGGTCTCAGCAGTGCTGTCCTGGGCATCGCAGGGTGCCCCCGCCCCAAGAGTCTTGGTCCCCCTGCCCTGCCTGAGGCTCTGACCATGGGCCGAGCGCCCTGTCCGGCTGGAGCCCCTGACTCTCCCCCTCAGCTGCTGCCGTGGCACCTGTTCGGGCGTCTCAGCCCTTGCTGCCTTGAACCAGGCCCTGGGGCCCACTTTAGAAATGGGGAAGCAGCTGTGGGGGGCCTGCCCAGCCTCCTCCCCATGAGACTTCCCGCTCCCATGGGGGCCACGCCCCTGACACTCACCCTGAGGCTGGGCCATGCACCAGCAGCCGCACCAGGATGCCTGTCACTGCCACCAGGATAGGGTAGTGGTCCACGCTTTCCAGGCCTACGGGGAGGCAGGGAGGGGCATGAGCGCCCCATGCCCGCCTGCTGATGCTTGCTACCCTCCCTCCACACCGTCCTCCCCGCAGAGGGGCGCAGCTGAGGCTGGGGCTGCCGGGCCTGGCTGCGCCAGCACCAGATGGAGAAGCGGCATCACTGCTCCTGGCAGTGAAACCGAGGCCTGGTATGTTGGGTGCAGGGCACTTAGGTCCTCACCAGGAAGCCACAGGGTGACCACACGGTCAAACAGGTTCCTCTCAGCCGTCACCCGGTTCAGCACCTGGTTCAGTAGCTGTGAGAGCAGCAGACAGTTGGTGGCCAGGTGGGGCACTCCTGGGGCACCCCAGGGTCCCCCCACCCGCTCTCCTCGCCCTGCTGGACACACCTGTGCCAGACGGCGCAGCAGCATCTCGGAGGCAGGCTGGGTCCAGTCGAGGAACACCTCGGGCACCAGGGTGATGGTCATCTCCAGGACACGCAGCAGGCTGACCGAGAGGTCGAAGCAGGTGGCACACACCTTGAGCTGCCGGGTGTCCACGAAGTTCCTCTCCAGGCGTTCAGCCGCCTGCTGGATCTGAGCCGCCGGCAGGGGGGCGGGCGGCGGTCAGCGGTCAGCGGTCAGCGGCCTGGCCCACCGCAGGCCATGCCTCATGCTCTGCGACACCCCGGCCCCCAGAGCCGCCACGACCCACCTCCTGGATCATGCCGATGAACTCCGAGAAGGCCCAGTTGAGCTGGTTGAGGACGCTGTTGAGGAAGCTGGGCGCCAGGTCCGGGTCCTGGCGCAGCAGGTCCGCCATGTGCTGCTGCAGCAGCGTGGAGGGGCAGGGCTCTGCAGGGGCGTCGGGGGCACTAGTCAGGGGCCCTGCCTCTGCCTCCACTGGCGGGGCGGTTGTTGTAAGGACAGAAAGGCGGCTCTGGGAATGCTCGGGTCATGAAGGAAGAGGGGCAGGGCTAACTCGGTCCCCTCCCTCTGCTGAGCAAGCCCCACAAGCTGAAGGTGTTTCTGGCCCCACAGCACCGCCCAGGCCTGCAGCAGCCCCCTAGCCTGCGCCCCAGCAAGTCCCCAGTCACAGGCCCTTCGGGGAGGGCCGGACCCAGACAGGGTGACCTAGGCCCTTCCTCCCTTGCCTCAAGGTCAGCTTCCCCAAGAGCCTCCTCTGAGCCCTGCCGTCCTCTCCTGTCCTCTGCTGCCCTTGGCCTGGCCTTGGCACACGGCCGAGGTGGGGGGCGCCAAGTCTGGGCTGACAGGCCGCAGTAACTAGAGCCCGCAGCTGCAGCCGCAGCCGGGCTGGGCACCCCTCCCGCGCCCCGTGCAAATCAATAGTTCCGGCAGCAGCAGGACTCGGACCGGCCCGCCGCCACTCTGCACTGGCAGCTCAGTCCCGCCCTGCAGGCAGGGCCCGGGCAACGGGCAAGGACTCGCTGTGTGACTCCGCACAAGGCACTTGGCCTCTAGGGACACCCTTCGGGCAAAACAGCCCACAAAGGCAGAGCATACCCTGTGGGCCAAGGAGAGCCACCGGGTGGGGTGGGGACAGCGCGCAGCAGGCGGACCGTGAGCTGGACCACCCACAACCACCACGGCCCCCAGAGAGGGAGCACAGCCGCCCCTTCCAACCACGTGTCCCGCATGGGGGTCAGGGAGCCGGGTCTCCACCCTGCACGAGCTGTCAGCAGGCTGCGAAGACGCCGCCCCTTTTCACTGTGGCCCACGCAGAGCCTCAGGCCCAAGGGGCACACGGGGGCCTGGGGAGCAAGGGCCGTGTCGTCCCAGAGTGTCCTGGGGCTGGGAGGCCCAGGGAGAAGGGAAACCTCGGGGGGCAGACAGGGAGTTTGGGGCCCAGCACGAGGCCCAGAGAGGGGCTGGAAGGAGGGGGAAAGTCCGAGAGCCCAAGAGCGGGGCGCAAAGGCCGCCGCTGGCCCAAGCCGGTACTCACTCTGGAGGCTGGGCAAGTTGGCGTCCTCGGGTTTGATCTTCAGCAGGTGTGGCAGCCGCGTGTAGCGGTACCCGAACCCGCAGCCCTGGGGGTAGGGTCAGTGGAGGTCAGTGGGGCGGGGCAAGCCTTCGCTCCAGCCGCCACAGCCACCGCCCCTCCAGCCAGACTCACCTTCCAGAGCCGCACCAGGATCCAGTTGGTCTGGGCCCAGGGCCGCTGCTCGTAGGGGGCCAGGAGGCTCCTCACCATGGCGATGCGCCTGCGAGGCAAGGGGCGGCGGACACAGGGTGAGGCCGGGCACGGTGCTGCGAAGGGCAGGGTGCGTGCCCCGGCCCCGGCCCCCACTCACTGCTCCTCGGGAATGCGCTCCACGGCCCGCAGGGAGTGTGGGTAGCAGACGTAGCTGGCCAGCGCCTGCATCAGCGAGTCCCGGATGTCTGCCGGGACAAGCCGGGCCTCAGCCGGTGCCTGGCATGAGCCCGGGCCCCACGCCTCATGCCCATCGGGCCGGCGTTTTCTGCCGACAGTAGGCAGCCCGCGACGCCATCCTACCCTGGCCCCCAGAGCCCTCTGCAGGGCGCCTCACCAGTGCCCACGATGCGGCTGTCGGCGAAGTGTTTGGCAAGGATGGCGGCCAGGCGGGTCAGGGTCTCTTCGTAGCCTGCAGGGCGGGGAGTGAGAGCTGCTGGCTGGGAGTGGGGCTGCAGAGGGGGCCCATCCCTTGGCAGGGGGCGGGCTTGGGCGGTCGCTCCAGAGCCGGCTCTGAGGCTCAGTCTGGGCCCAAGCCAGCATCTGGGGACTCCGGGCACGACATTCACCGAGAGCCAGTGACACGCTAGGGCGCAGACTCGCTGTGGGGAGAGCGGGGTCCTGGAGAGAGCTCCGACTGGGCCCTGACCCACCTCAGTGCACACACTGGGCGGCTCAGCAGTCACCGCCCCAGCACCCAGGTGCCCCCTCTGAGGACAAAGCTTGCACCTAGGTTTGAGGTGGGGCCGGGGTGGGCCGGGAGCCTGCCCGCCCACAGCCTGATCCAGGAATAACCGACCCACCCTGGCCTGGAATCGGGGGTCTACCAGAAGCCGGGGCTCCCATGGCCCTCAGCAGGGCCCCACCCCTGCCGTGACCCAGGGACAAGCCCCGCCTCCCACGGCGGCCACGCCCTGCGGCAGCGCTCGTCGGCAGGGTGAGAGGCCAGCTGGCTCCTGGCCACAGCGCCGCCGAGTAGGAAGTGAAAGCGGGGGTCCGTTTCGCCCGTCTCCTTCCCAGGCCCAGGAGGAGCTGCTGGTTCGGTGGAACTGGCACCAGGCAGGGCTCTCCGCCATGCGGGCGTCAGCAAATGCTTGTCCAAAGCCCGCCGCACGGAGCAGGAGCCGCCTCGCCTCCTGCCCAGGCGCATGCGCGCTGGGCCTCGAAGGCTCACAACCGGACTCCCAGGGCCCTCACCGAAGGCCCTTTTCCGCCCCTCCCGGCCGGAACGGGCCTCACCAGGGAGCTCCTCCATGCTGTGCACCGGGCCGAAGTAATTCTTGAGAGCGCTGTAGCTGTTGATGGCCACGCTCAGGTAGAACTCGGGCAGGAAGGCGAAGAGCGACCCCGTGCGGTCGCCGTGCTCGATGGTGCGCAGGCAGACGCGCAGCAACCAGTAGATGTCCAGCATCTTCTCCTGCGGGGGGCACAGGGGGCTGCTGGGCTGCTCACGGGGAGGGCCACAGTGGGCACAGCTCGGTCTGGGGACCGGAGAGGCCTCCTCGGAATGTGACTCGGGAACTGAGAACGGACCCTAGGAAGCTCGGGCGGAGACGACGCTGGGCAGGCGGGACGGGCGCCCCTGGCCTGGGGACTCTGGTTTGCTTTCGTTTTAAAGGCGCAGGACGCTTTAAGTGAGAGGCAGGGTGACCAGCAGTCAGCCCGGAGCACTGCTCGGTGCAGAAGGGGCCGCAGGGGCGTGTGGGGACAAGGCCGTGGGGGGCCACAGCCTCACCTAGGCTCAAGGCAGCAAAGGGACCGCATGGCCGGGAATGGGGAGGCAGCCATGGCCTGCAGGGGCAAGGGCATGGCTGCACCGATGCGGCAACATTTCTGGGAGTGACGGAGCCTCCGTGGAGACCCCGAGAGCTGGAGGAAAGTCAGCCTGCTGCAGAGCAGCGGTGGTGCTCAGCAAAGCCAGGTGCCTGGAGATTCCCCAAAGGACAGGCACTGAGTTGGCAGAAACGTGGTCTGGAGCTCGGAGGGGACCGCGGTGGGAAGTCAGCGTGCCTACCGCTGGGACAGAGGCTACAGAAAGCAGACAAAGCCCGCGAGGGCTCCCGGCCCACAGTATGGTGCCCAGTCTGCCAGGACCTGCAAAGGAGGCCAGACCCAGGCCCCAGGCCCTAGGGCCCAGCCCAGACCCAGGGCACCCACATCTCCTGGGGAGGAGCCAGAGCATCGGAGTCGCACGGCGGCCCTCTGAGGCGCCTTCAGACCCGAGAACCGGGAGAAGATGGCAGCAAGAGGTCCGAGGGCAGGCCTGGCCTGGCGTGCACACGGCAGCAAGCCAGCGTCCAAAGCAGGCTGAGTCTGAGCGGGTCAGGGCTCAAGAAGGGAAGACAGATGCCGCCACGGCCCCCGGCGAGGCGCGAGAACAGGGAGGGGAGAAGACACGGCTGCAGGATCGGGGCCTGGGGTCCGAGCGCGGCCAGGGGCAGCTCGCCCCGTCTGCCCGCCCCTGGAGGCCGGCCGCCCGGAGGGCACCGCCTGGTCCTTCTGACTCACTCCTGGGTGTCCCCGGTGTCAGGACAGCGCCCGGCACGCTCCAGGCCCGGGTCCCTGTTACTGATAAGTGGGCGAGTGAACGAGCAGGAACACGCCAGTGGCCTCAAGGGTGGGAAGTGAGTCTGAGAGGAGGACGGGCGAAGAACGAGGGTGTGGCTTGGGCCGGGCCGCAGAGCCCCTGGGGGAGGTGGGGCTCGGATCTGAGCGGGGCGTGGGGAGAAGGGGAGGCAGGGAGAGACAGGCTCTGTTCAGCCCCGGGGTTTGTGAGCCGGCGGGGACTGGGGGGTCTAGGACAGCCAATCTGCGCAGGGTCCCAGGTCATAAGAGGTGCAGGGGACGTGGTGTGGGATGGAAGGAAAAAGGGTGAGGGGCGGGGAGGGAGCGTGTGCCAGAGGCCCAGGGCAGCAGGGCGCATCGAGGGGCTGGCACCACCCTGCCAGCCTGTGGCTCACCGTCAAGACTGGGGAGGGCAGCAGCCGCTGCCCAGAGCCACCTCTGCTCACCTGGGAGTAGACAGTGGCATGGACCCAGGCAAGACGGCGACTCAGGTGGTCCAGCTTCTCTGAGAAAACTTTCTGGCTCTTGGTCAGCTCTGCAAGGATGTCCTGCCGCTGCCAGCCAAGGAGAAGAGATGGTCAGGACACGCCCCACCCACCCACCCCCGCTGCGTGGGGCAGGCAGAGGGCTGGCAGACCCCTCTTCCACCTCCGACCCACCACTACGTCCTCGCAAGCCTTGGGATAGAACCATGGTCACCCCCTGGAGTGTGGAAGTGAGGTGCAGCTGGGGGGCCGGCAGCCCCCGGCTGGAACACCCCAGGGACTCTACGATGGAATGCAGACAGCTGGGGGCAGGCGGCCTGCCAGGGAGGCCCAGCCTGGGCGTGCCTGGCCACGCTCCCCAGGCTAGGTGAGCTGCAGGAGGGGCTCCCGCGGCCTGGGGGCGGGGGCAGGGCCGCTTCCTGCTGACTCTGCTGGCGGCCAAGAAAGCACTCAGGGTCAAATCCATAATTGATGAGCAGAGTGGGTGTGCTCAGCACTTAGCCGGCCAGGGGCGGGGCACCTGGCACAGGCCGTGGCTGGTGGACGGGGCTCTGCTTGTGCCCAGCCCCGGGGCCGGGCCCCCTCTCCCCAGTCCACTGCGGTCAGGGCAGGGGTGGGGACAAGAAAAACTGCTGGGGTCACCCCCGGGGGCAGGGCCAGGCCAGATTTCCTCTGCGGACTGCCCTGGGGGTCCTCAGGGAGCAAGCTGCCCCTCGGCCCCCCGCCCAGAGACCCGCCTGCCCGCGGGGGCCTCACCCGTGCGGGGCAGCGGCGGAGCTTCTCCTCGGTGTTCCTCAGGGCCGTCGCGTACTCGTTGACATCGTCCGACACGCCCACCATCTGCAGCACCGGACACCGCCCGTCGGTGCCACCCTTGGGCGCCGCACCCCGGTCTCCGCAGACCCAGCCTGGACCTCAGCCCCGGCAAGCTCCGGACCCGAGGCCCAGGACCCCCACCCCGCAGAGCCCGCCAAGGCGGGGCGCAACAGCACTGGTGGGAACCAGTCCTGCTGTGGCGCAGCCATGCCCAGGCACCCCTGCAGGCCTGGGGCACGTGTGGGGGCGCACGCACAGGCACACGCGTGCACCCAAACATGCGGAGCCGCGTGCCGTGCACTCGGACCCACGGTTCCAGACCTTGCCCAGCTGCTGGTGGACGCTGAGGTTGTACATCATGACGGCGCCGTCCAGGACCTCCAGCAGGGAGTTCTCCGTGAGGGGCTGCTCCGGCTCCTCGGGGGGCCGCCCCAGCAGCAGGCCCTCGTTCCAGTGGCTGCCTTCAACTAGGGAGGGGGCAAGGCAGGGTCAGGGGCCAGACCTCTCCAGTGGTCTCCCAAGCCTGGGGAGCCAGGACAGGCCTCGCAACAGCAGAAGGGAGCCAGCGCCCCCTGCTGGGCCCCAGGAGGGCCTGCAGGAAGAACACGGGGGAGGGGCAGGGCAACGTCCCGCAGCTCCGGGACTTATTTCTGTGGCATCGATTTCCTGCCTCGGAATGGACTCCCCACACCCTTGAGAGACCGCCAGGCCAGAGGACTGGCCCGGAAGGGAGTGCGTCCTGCCTTCGCCCAGGGTGGGAGTCACATGCGATAGAAGGGCCCTTCGAAACGGCGCCTGGCCCCGCCGACACCTACTGTCCTCGCGGGTCCTCTGCTCCGCGCTCAGCGTGCGGACCTTCACCTTCTCCGCGGTGCTCAGAGGCCGCCGGGGGGTCATCAGGCTCACGGCCGCGGTGCTGAGGAAGCGGTTGGCGCGGCCCAGGGTCGGAGAGCTGAGCCAGCCGGGCCGGGGCAGGGGCAGGGCGCCCCCAATGGCCAGGGCCTGCACGGGGCGCTGTGGTGGAGAGAAGGGGCCGGGTGCCGCTCAGCTCCCCGGGACCCGAACCGCTCAGGGCTCCCCTGACTCCTGGGGCTGGGGGATGGGAGGGGAAGGTTTGTGCCTCCGCCCGCAGCAAGGGCGCCTGCCCGCTGAGGAGCCCGCTGCCCGCACGGAGGGAGGACCGGCCTGTGACACCCCTGCCCTCGTGGAAGGAAAGAGGGGCAGCCCGACGCGAAGCCCTCTGCCTGCCCCTACCGCGGCACCTGGGCCGCAGCCGGGGACGGCTCCTCGTCCTCGTCCAGGTCGTCCATGGTGGCCGCCTGCAGCTCCAGCGGGTCGATCAGGATGTTGGCCTTGGAGGCAAGGTCATCTGGGAGGAATGGCGGAGGGGCTCTCAGCGCGGCGGAGGGGCGGGGCCTCACGGCGGAGCGGGACCTCACGGCGGAGCGGGACCTCACGGCGGAGCAGCCCAGGGCCGAGAGACAGCGCCACTGGCTGGGCAGGGGGCCTGGCAGGGCCCCACTCCCACGCCCGCGCCTCGCCCCTGCATGGACTCCGGCTGCCTCACTCGCATCCCCGTCCCGCCCTCCCCGTCAGCCCCCAGTCCCTCTGTCTCTGCCTCCGGGGACCTCAGTGCCCCCAGCTCCTCTGACCGTACCTTCCTCCTCCTGCTCTATCAACAAAAGGGGACCCAGGGCTGCCCCAGCTTCTGCTCACTTCGCACCCCCCCAGGGCCCAAGCCTCACTGCCAGCTGGCTCCCACCTCCGTGCTGAGGGCTGACCACACCACTTCTGCCCCCAGACCAGGCCTTGGTCCTGGCTGTGTCCCTGGGCACCTCGAACACACCCGACCTGTCATCGCAGCCTCCTCCTGAAACCCCTCTCCCTGATGCCACCCCAGCCCCACAGCCCCTGGCAAGACGCCTGGGGACCCGGGGTCCTCCTCGCCTCCTGCCCTTCATCCATGCCCTCCCATCCTGCCTGTTGCCTGGACAACCAGCCACCCTGTCCGGTTTCTTGGCCTTCACACCCCGTTCTAAGCACCGCAGCATCCAGAGGGAGCGTCTTACAACGCAGATCCCAGACCTCACGCCCCTACCGCGCAAAAAGCGGCCCTCGAGACCCCCCCGCGGCATCCGCCACCGCTCCCTGCCTCGCACTCCCTCCGGGCGCAACGCTGCCTCCGCGCTGTGCGGGCGGGGCGCTCAGCCCTCCGGTCGGCAGCCACTCGTGCTCATCCCGAAAAGCAGCTCACGCAGCAACTGCACACCACCCCTCCGGACGCGGTGACCTCGCCAAGATTCCATGGTCCCCCCTGTCAGCACCCCCACCCCCACTTCTTTACAGGGCTCCCGGAAGTCCCTGGGGGTGGGTGCTCCAGGGAAGGGACAGCAGGACCCCAGACGCGAGGCAGAGTGGGCAGATCAGCATCCAGCGGCCCCAGCGGGTCGGTACTCGGGCGCCCTCTAGTGGGCACAGTATAGCTCAGCACTCTCGGCAGGGCTGGCTCAGATACACGCCCGCCACCCAGCCGGACCTGCTCTCTGCCCACAGGCCTGCACTCACCCTTGAGGGTCTTCCGAAGGTGTGAGAGGAGGCCTCCGAGGCGCTGCTGGTCGAAGTAGTCCACCTTGCCGTTATAGAAGACCTGGGGTGGGACGTAGGCCTCTGCAACACGTCGGGGAGCCAGGCCAGCAGTCAGAACCCAGTGGGGAGACCTCCCAGAGGTCCCCCCTGAGCTCCGGCCCAGCACAGAGGGGACTCCTGGCGTTGGTCACCCGCCCACCCAGCGTGCAGCATGGCCTCCTGCCACTCCCATCCCCCACCGTTTCAGGCCAGCGCCAGCAACTGCACAACTCGGGACTGAGGGTGCATTTGGGTTGTGGGTGCTCCAAGGAAAATGAGCGCCCCGGCCCAGCCCCTCGGGGTATCCCCCCAACACAGGGCACCTACGGCTTCCCCTGACCCTTGAGGACTGTGCCCCACAAAAACACAGGGCCCTCAAAGCCCAACCGAGGTGTCCCCTACAAAGCACTGCAGGGGACTGGGCAGGCTGGGACCCAGAGAGCCCATGGGGACAGTCAGGCCCGGCCCCACTCACCGTCACTGTAGGAGGCGTGGGGGTTGGCAGCTTTGTACTCGTCCCAGTAGCAGCGCAGCGCAGAGATCAGCCGGTGCAGGAAGCAGACCATGTACTCGGGGGGGCAGAGCAGGGGTATGTTCTGCGGGCACAGGGCGTAGGACATGCCGCGGTTCCAGCCCAGAGCCCAGCCCACTCCTCACCCGAGGCCGGTCCTGGGGCCTGAGACGGGCAGGGAGGGCAGGGGCCGGGGCACGGGAAGAGCAGCAGAAGCCCAGGGTGCAGACCCCACCACGCAGTCAGGGGCCCATGGTGGGCTGGCCTGGAGGACGGACACCTACCCCCCGGCTGCTGGCATTCTCCTGCAGAAACTTGCGGAACTTGGTCAGGAAGATGTACCTGGAAGCTTCACCCTTCGGGGGGAGGACACATGAAGCTGTGAACGGGCCGAGGACGCTGGCCCGGGGCTGGGCTAGCTCACGGCCACGCCTGGGCCTGGCCGGCCGTGGGAACCAGAGTTGGCCCTGCCCTCCCGGCCAGGCCCCCCCGCACAGGTGTCTCAGAGCCACTCACCCCGTTGTCATCTTTATTGTTCAACAGCAGCTTCAGGACCTGGACCTGCAGTTCTTCCACCACTGGGGGTGGGGTGGGGGAGGACAGGGAGCCCTCAGCAGGGCCCTGCCCCCGGGGCTCCCAGGGGCAGGAGGGGGCATGGGCTCGGGTGGGGCTCCACCACCAGGGCCCCCGAGCCCAGCCTGGGCGCGGTCACGACCAGGGACCCCCAAGCACACACACCCGCCCGCCCGCCCCGGCCCAGGCAGGCCTGACCTTCGATGCGTTTCTTGAGTCTCTGGCAGCCCCGCTCGTAGGCACGCCTTCGCAGCCGCTCCTCGGCCGTCTCGTCCTTGGTCTCCTTGCCGTCTTTGCCCTGGGCAGGGGCAGGGCAGGGAGGGGACGGAAGGGCTAGCCCGCCACCCCCAGCCCTGGGCCAGGGCTGAGCACCTGGGTGGCCCCTGCAGAGTGCCCCACTTAGACAACCCCCACCCCCGCCCTCTCTCAGACCCCGCCCCCGCCCGGCCCACCCACCTCCCGTCCTGAGCGGTGGGGCCACCAGGTGGTGGGGATGAGCTCCTGCAGGCCGGCCTCCTCCACGCGCAGCGGGCTCTTGATGTGGAAGAAGACAGCAGACCGCAGCACGTCGAAGCTGGCGCGCGTCAAGGCACAGCTCTGCTCACCCGAGGGCACACCCCCACCACGAGTCCTCCCGGGAAGCCCTGCAAAAACCCACCCGTCCTGTCGTGCTCCCGTCTCTGCGGGAGTCCTGGAGGGCCGTGGCGGCCAAGCCCGACCCCCAGCAAGGGCTGTCACAGGTAGAGGCCTGTCACCACAGGGACAGATGCTGTGGGACAGGCTGGAGAAGGGCCTGGTGCCCCCCCCCACCCCATTGCCCAGCTCTGTTTCTGCTTCCTGGGGGCTGAAGACCCCAGAGAGGGAAGATGGCTGCTAGTGCAGGCTGCGCGGCCAGGGGCTGAAGCCCCTCCCCCTCCCGTTCTTTTCACTATCCTCGGCACTCTGGGGAAGCAGGAAGAGCCGACTTCTAGAGGATCCCGGGGAGCCCCCGACATGGGGCCGACAAAGGTACAGTGCTCTGGCTGAAGGGGCAGGCCCTGCTGGCTCCCCGACACCTCCACGCAGCCCAAGAGTCTGCAGTCATCTGGAGACCCCTGCTTGGGCGGGCTGGCCGGCTGGCCGCCGGGCCTCTGCCCTGCCCTCCCCGCTTGGTAGAGAAGGTGCTGGGAGGGCTTGTCCCGAAGCAAGGACTCACATACTGGGTGGCTCCGGTCCTGCGGGGCCTCCCTGGGGGCTCCTCGCCAGAGGCCCACTGCATCGCCCACCCCCGGCCTCTGCTGACCGCACAGGACAGGTGCCTGGCCCACCGGGTGGCAAGGGGAAGGATACAGGACGTTGCTAAGCAGGAACTTGCGGGACTTCTCGTGCTTCAGGATGGCGATGGTGAGCTGCAGGTAGCGGACCTGCGGGGAGGGGTGCTCAGCACGGGCGGCGTGGCCCCGGGGGCGGGGCAGCAGCTCGAGCGCCCACCTGCAGGCTCAGGTCCGGGACGATGGGCGAGAACCGGTACAGCCGCAGCAGGGACATCATCAGCTGCTTGAGGCAGTCGTGCACCTCGTAGTCCTGGGGGAGAGGCCGGGCGGGCTGCTCACCTCCCGGGCCGAGGGCGGCCGCCTCCCAGAGCCGCCCCCAGCGGGGCCCGAGCCCAGGAGCCTCACCTCCATGAAGAGCCACAGGAGGTCCAGGACCTGGCGCACCACAGCCTGCGCCTGCGTGGGGGTGCCCGCCTCCATGACGCCCAGCAGGAAGTTCGTGAACACGGCCTCCACCAGGTACACCTTGCGCTGCTCCAAGGGTGGGCACAGGTGAGGCCGTGGCACCCGTGCCTCGGCACGTGGCCAAGGCCACAGGCACAGGAGGATCCTTGGGACCCCCTGAGCAGCCCCGAGATACAGATGCGCCTTCTGGGGTCAGACTGAGACACAGGGGCCACCGCCCGCCCCACAGCCCGCTGGGGCTTTGCCCCTGCAGCTGCCCTGGCCTGTGACATTGTTACCCCTCAACCTTCTTTCTAGGGCGCCCCCGAGACGCTCAGCTGGAAGCGTCGCCCCCTTTGCTCGGCGACAGCCGTGAGGTCTGAGGGCTCTGGCCACACGGGGCCCTGCCGGGCGAAGGTGCAGAGCTCACCCACCGCGGCGGCGCAGCCCCCGCACGGGCTCCTCTGCCACGGCCCGCCCCCCCCCCCGGGGTGCCCTCACCAGCAGCGGGGCAAAGTGGTGGAAGATGTGGGCCAGCGTGAGCAGGACGGTGGGCTGGCCCTGCAGCTGCCACTCCGAGCTCTCCTTCTCCACCAGCCGCCCCTCCTGTGTGTGGCGAGGAGAGGGGGCCGTGAGGGGCAGAGGGCAGCGGAAGGCCCCCAGCTCCCCCGGCCCAGAGCCCGGCTCACCACGGGGTCCAGCTCCACACTGAGCACTGCCCGGAAGCAGCCCAGTAACCTCTGCGCCCGCGCCAGGTCGGCCCGCGGCGGGTCCTGCAGGGGCCGGTAGCCCGCTACTGGGTAGGTGCCACAGAGTTAAGCCAGCACTGCCGCACCTGTGGCTCGGACACGCCCGCGCCCCACCCTGCCACTGGGGGCCCTGCGGAGGGGCCTGGGCCCCTGGGCCGCCGGACGGCCGCCTGGCACCGGTCTCCCGCTTAGCCTCCTTAGCAGGGGGACGCTTCCTTTGCAGCTTTGTGTCCTTCATCTGCTCGGCTGAGAGGACGACGGTGCCCACCCCCAGCCCACAGAGCCCCCGGGGCAGGGAGCCCCGCTCAGCTTCCCCAAGACCTTCCGAGCAGCCCCACAGCCTCCTTCCCGAAAGGATATCGCAGAGGACGGCTGCCGAAGTTGAAGGCCACGGACTCCTTGAAGGAGAGGCTGATGGCCGGGAAGTAGGCCATGCCCGGGCCCCGGGAGAAGTTCTCGAAGGCGGTGCCCAGCGACACGCCGTTCCTGGGGCGGAAGGGGGGGCCTGTGAGCCAGTGCTAGGGCCCCCGCTGGGGCTGTCCTCCGCGGGCCACCCCCTCGCAGGGACCAGGAGGCCGAGGGCGGCCCGCGGGGAAAGGCAGGGCACTCACAAGCAGAAGGACAGAGCGCCGTCGTCCAGGTCGATCAGGCAGCTGACGATGTCCCCCGCGGCCCACGCCTGCCGGGGGAGGGGCCTGACAGCCGCGCAGGGGCCCCGCGGCCCACCCCCGCTGCCCCCCGGGAGACCCCCGCGGTCCTGTGCCCTCCCTGGCGCCCTGCAGCCCCTCAGAGCTGCCCAGTGGCTCCCGATGAGCTGCAGAAGGGCAGGCGGGCCCCGGGGGGCTCGGCCCTCACCTTGCCGTAATTCGTCGTGGTCACGTTCCACTTGCGCACCCGGTTGCCATCATAGGCGTAGGAGTTGTGCGTGTCTCCGACCCCCTCCTAGGGAGGCAGGTCTGTGAGGCCCGGGGGAGGGGGGCAGGTGCAAGGCCAGAGCCCACCAGCCCCCAGCCTGGGGCTCTCACGGCTTGAGACAAGGCAGCGGAAGCTCCGAGGGAAGTGGGGAGGGCGGTTCGGGGGCTGGGCTGCCCTGCAGCAGGGTGGGGCACAAGCCTCCAGGGGGCGGTCGGGCGAGGGTCTGGGGGCCGAGGCAGCTCGAGGCCTCCCCCCCCCCACCCCCACGCGTACCTCCTGGTTGAAGCGGCAGTTGATGGTGCACCAGCCGATCTGCATGAGGCCCTGGGAGGAGATGAGCACCTCGTAGACCCATTTCCCTGGAAAAGGCCAAGTCAGGCCCTGCGGGGAGACCGCGGCTGCCTCCCACCCCAGGCCGGGCCCTCCGACGTCCCCCGGACTCTGGGCCCGCAGGACAGCGCGGCCTCACCTTTGTACACACACGTGGTCGAGCGGATGGTACCGAAGTTGCTGTGTCCGATCACCTGGGTGAGGAGAGGGCCGGTGAGCCCGCCCCCACCCCCCACTCAGCCCGCCCTGGTGGCGTGGGCCTGTCACGGCCAGCGCCGCACCGTGCCCAGCAGGGCCTAGGCCTGTGTCAGCAGGGATTCTGAGCCAGGAGCATGATGGGAGGGGCTCGTGGCTATGCTGGGAAGAGCCTGGGGCTGCAGCGCCTCCAAGAGGGTTTCCGGGGTATGTCAGGAGGGTTTGGGGGCCGAGGACTCGACGGGCCACATCAGGAGGAGCTTAGGGCTGTCGAAAGGGGCTTGGACCCGAGGTCCCAAGCCTTGCCCTCACTCACCCCCAGGAGGTCATCGTCCACCAGCAGCAGCCCTTCGAAGCCACTCGTGTGGTCCAGCACCACAGTGGAGGGGCCGAGCCGCCCTTCCGCCTGTCCTGCAGAGGGGAGAGGCGGGTGTGGGGGCGGGCAGCGCAAGGGCTGGTGGGAGCCTGCCGGGGCAGCCCCCGGGGCCCACCCGTCCCACCGCAGAAGCTGCCACGTACCCTGGCTCTCCTCATCCTCACTGTCCACCTGCAGCAGCTGGTCCAGGTGTTCCGGCAGGTTCTGGAAGTTCAGGGGTTTCCTGAGAAGAGCAAGAGGCTGCGAGGGGCCCAAAAGTCCTTGAAACCAGCCAGACGACACCCCACCCCCCTTCCGCTCCCTGGAACCTGAGGGGGCCTAAGACGCAGAGGGTGGCCGCCCGGACTCCAGACAGAGGGCTGCGCCTAGTCCTGGCTCAGGCGTGCTGGGGGTCAGAAGGCTAGACCGTCTGCCACACTAGCAGTCATGACTGCTCCGACGGGGTGCACCTCCGGACTGTTTAAAAAGGAAGAGCCCCCTCTGAGCCTTAAGTCCCTCATCCGTAGGAAGGAGCAGAAGCTGTGTGTCGGGCACGCCGTGAAGGCTCCAGGGAAGCACCCTGCTCCGCTCTCCCAGGCAGCCGTGCCGACTGCGCCGGGAAAGGACGGCTGGGAGAAATGCGCATCCCCAAGTGCTCAGCATCCAGGACAGCTAGTCCAGCCCCTGACCCCAGCCCTGTGCCTCCGTCGGGACCAGGCTTCCAGCCCCGCCCCCCGCCCCGGGAAGTCTGTGTTGAATCAGACGTGTCCTGGCAGTCGGAAGGGCTCGCCCTTCTGTGCTGCTGGCTGGCTGCGCTGTACCAGCCTGTACAGGCCAGCAGAGCACGTGACCTGCCTGTCCGCCATCCGCCCCAGCCAGAGGGATGGGAAATCTGTCTGAGTGGCCCCTCTCCCTCCCAGCACACGTGCTCAGGGGAGAAAGGGCACTGTCTCGCGCCAGCCAGCTCTGCCCTGAGCTCAGCTGCTAAGAATAGCGGGGAACGGGGAGGGGGGAACCAGCAGGTCCCAGGCAGAGAGGAGGCCCGTGCCCCTGGGGATCCAGGCCGCAGGGTGCCAGCACCCGCTCTCCCACCTCGACTCCCGGCTCCCACCCCCTTCATCTCCCTGGAGAGCAGGGGCTGGGAGGGGACGCAGGGGCGTCAGAGCACCCATTCTCCGGCAAGGCGGCCTCAACCCAGGCTCAGGGACCACGTGCTCCTCCCAACCGGGTGCTACTGCTGACCCTGAGCTGCAGGAGGTGGGGACGCACAGAGCCGCGTCTCCGTGTGACTGTATGGCCGTGGCCACGGAATGGGGTGCTCGGACAGCAGTGGGAAAGGCTGCAGCCAACCTCATCTCTGAACGCCCTAGTCCACGGCCCCGGGACAAAGGAGGCTTCCTCAGGAGTCCCTCCTGGCCCACACCCGGGAGCGCTGCTCTGGTCCGGCGCCTGCTCACCAGAGCAGCTGTGGGCAGGCCCCCCCAAGACAAGACTCAGCCCCTCTCAGTGCCTACAGCGCGGCCCACATGGCCAGGCCCAGCACCGCCTGCCCAGGTCCTCCTCGTCCAGGGCCCTCCGTCCACACAGCCACTGACGGACGGCCCTGCCACCTGCTCTCCCTCCTGGCAGCCGCAGCACCCGCGGCAGCGGGACCGCCTGCGGTGTCACATGAAGTGGGGATCAGATGGCCCTGGGAGCAGGCCAGGACTGGGGCTGGGGCGGAGGTGGGCAGCACCCTCCAGCAGAAGGAACCCCGCGGCCACCACGGCCCCTTAAATGGAACAGGCGGCTGCCGCCCTTTGTGCCTCGTGCCTGCCCGGACAGCAGAGACCGTGGACGACGGAACAGGCCAGGCTGGCAAGGGGCTGAGCGGCAGGGACCTGGGCCTCCGGGTAAGCGGCACGTGCAAAAAACAATTTAGCAACAATCCTAAAAGTGACTGCAGCTCAAGCGTTTTGGCCACAGGATCCCAAGCCCGGGCACCCTCACAGCACCACCTACAAAAGCAAAAGCCCGCCCGAGCCAGGGCATGGCGAAGGGCTGACCCCTGCCCCGAAAAGATGCCTGCCAAGGTCAATTTGTAATGCAGGGAAGCACTCAGAGGACACCGTCTGGTGACAAAAACAGGATTTAAACTTCTGTATACTTCTGGAGGCGAGGGGCGTGTCCATTATCTAGATGACAGTGATGGTTTCACAGGATAATACAACTCACTTTAAATACATGTGGTTTATTATACGTCGATGATCCCTCAATAAAACTTTTTTTTTAAAAAGTGCTGATGGTGACAAAAATTTTTTAATTAAAAGTTTTTTTTGCCCTGGCTGGTGTGGCTCAGTGGATTGGGCACCAGCCTGCAAACCAAAGGGTTGCCGGTTCGATTCCCAGTCAGGGCACATGCCTGCGTTGCGGGCCAGGTCCCCAGTAGGAGGCGTGTGAGAGGCAACCACACAGTGATGTTTCTCTCCCTCTCTTTCTCCCTCCTTTCCCCCTCTCTAAAAGTAAATAAGAAAATAAATAAATAACCTTTAAAAAATGCTCTTCTATACAGCATAGTCCAGACTACAGAGATTGCGAGATACAAAAACCCTGCCCGGGGAAGTCATGTTAAAATAATGAGACAACAGGTGCTTTTTCTTCCTCCAAGTTTCTGCTAAAACACACTTGTCACTTTGATACGGATTAAACTTAAGCACATTAAACGTGCAAGGAGAAGGAGCAGAGTAGGGGCTACTCTGGACGCTGACCAGGCACTGCCCCTCTGACCCCCACAAGTCCCTCGGAAGGAAGGTGCCGGCGCTGCCAGAGGGGAGAAAAAAGCAGAGCCCAGAAGGCAGGCGCTCTGGCCACAGGCCTCACAGCCAGGAGCAGTGGTGAGAATGGACCCCAAGCCAGCCGACCCCGAGCCCGCGCCCCCTTCCCCACACGCAGCCTCCGGCCTCTGGGCTCCTGCAGAGGAGGGAGGGCCACCCACCAGGCCATACCTGCTGGTGGCTGCAGTGGGTGCCTGGTCAGGAGAGGAAAAGACACGGTGCAGGTAGTCATTCAGTAGCTTTTCGTGCACAATGCCTGGGCCACGGGGCGGAGGGGGAGAAGGGTCACATGTCAGTGCGTCTCTCAGCTCTGTGGGCCCCAGAGGCTCCTGGTCCTGGGCCAGCCACAGGGGTGAGAAGAGCAGTCCTGTTGGGGGCACTGCTCCATGGCAGCTGGTGGGGAGGAGCTGGCTGGCAGGCACAAGGGGTGCGGCTCGGCCTGAGGCTCAGCGGACCTGTGGCTTTGCTGCCTCTGTCTCTCCCTTCTCTTTCCCTCGACGTAAGGAGCCTCCTCCCTCGCCTGCCCGCCCTTACCTGTGGCCCTGGATTTCTCGGCATCTGAGGTCAGCCTGTAGTTCTTGCGGGAGAAGGACATGCCGGCCCCCTTGGATGCCATCCTTCATCTCTTGTGGGCAGCCAGTGGTCCTGGAGGCGGAGGCTATCTCAAGCCGGCCAAGGGCTCCCGCACTGACCTCAGTCCTAGGGTGGCCGGAGGGCTTGGGCGCAGGTGAGGCCAGGTGCATGCACGTCCACACACGTACTGACTCAAGGAGGAGGAGAGCAGGGGCTCCAGCTTCCTAAGTAGGAAGGGAGGGTATGTAGGACCCCATGTGACAGGCCCATGTGACAGGGCCCCACAGAGAGGTGCAGATATACATATGTTTGTTGGACCCAACTAAATGCCTGAGTCCTGGGAAAATCAGACCAAAGTGCCCACCGTGAGGCGGCCTAGGAGCAGAGCCCTTATGTCCCTCTCAGCCCTCAGCCACAGCGGGTCAGGCTCATATCCAGGATTCGATATACCTTACACCACCCTCCCCCAAGTGTGGGTCCCCACCCAGCGCTGGGGGCCGTCTTTAGCTACAAGTCCTGTGGACACCGAAGGCCAAGATTCCCTCCTCAGCTCCAGGATCCTCCCTCCTCTTGTCCAAAGTCCTGCTGGTTCTCTTGTTCCCACTCACTCACACCACCCGTGCCCAGTCCTCCTCGTGGACCCTGTTGGTCTTCCCACTGCTCTCCATCCCCCACCGGGGAGCTGCGACAGCTGCTTGAAAAGCTGCGAAGTCGCTGGAGCCAGCCTGGTAGCCTCACGCCGTCCTGTCCAGCACAGCAGCCACCAGCCACATGTGGCCACTCGAATTTGAATTACAGTTAAAATTTTCCTAACATTCAGTTTCTCAGTTGTATGAGCCACATTTCAAGGATTCAGTGGCCACGTGTGGCTCGTGCTGACTATACTACACGCTGCAAACACAGTCCACTTCCCTCGTCCCAGGAAGTTCCACCGGACAGCACAGGTCTGGAGCCCGGCCCCCAGCACTGCCTTAAGCAGCTCTCCCTTCTCTGCAGCCGGCCGGCCTCTTCTTATCTCACCCCCAACAGGTCCTCTGTCCCCATCACACACCCTCGCCCATTCCCGGGCCGAACCACGCCTGCCCCTCCGGAAGGTGACTCTCCCGCCCTGCCGCCCACCGCGGGCCCTCCACGGGCGTCCAGGCCCGCGGCCCCTCTCACACCAGGACAGGTGCAGGAGGTTAGACGCGGTCACTCATTCGGTCAGAAGACCTTCCAGACATCCGCTCTGGGTGTGTCAGGTGCTGAGGACCCAGGTGAGAGGCGGACCCTGACTCTGCTCGGGGACTGCCTGCCCAGCCCCGCCGAGAGACCCGGGGTCGGGGCAGAACCGACCCCATCCCGGAGCCCAAGGGCGCGGAGGGCAGTGCATGTCTCCCCCAAGTCGCCTGTGCCCGGCCCGAGGATCCGGAGGACCCTCCAGGCCAGCTCCAGCGCGGAGCCCCGCACCACAGGCTGAGACACTCTCGCACTGGACGGAGGGGGCAGCGCGGGGAGCCGCAGGGACCGGACCCGCCCCGCTCGGAGCCGGGCCGCCCCTCACTCACCCCCAGCCTCCGCCGCGGCGCCCCGGCTCACAACATCCGCCCAGCCTCTCGGCTACGGCGCGCGTCCGGGGTCAAACTAAGCGCCCGCCGCGCACGCGCAGCGGCCCGCGGCTGGCCTCCGTCAGGAGGCCCCTTCCGCCACCTCCAGCCGGGCTGTTCCGGCCTCTGCCTCGCTCGACCCCTGCCCGCACAGGAAGAGCTCCTGGCCTAGTCATCTCGGAACACAATGTCCTAACTGGGAGCCCCTGGCCGCCTATCCCAACTCCTACCCGTCGTTAGGGTCCCAGATGTCCCCTAAGAAGGCCGCTCCTGCCAGGTCTCTGCTACCTGTCACCCCCACCTCCCTTCAGGCTAGACGGGTGGCCTGGCTCACCTTCCCTGGGATGACACCCGTGATGGGGCAAGCGTGTCCTCTCTGGGCTCTGCTGTTAGGGGTGTGGGCCCATCTGTCTGCAGCTGGAGCCGATAAGTCAGCAAAAGGCGCGGGCTGCTTGAGGCTGGGGCAGGGAATACTCCCCGCTCTCCAAGGAAAAGCAGGCTCAAAAAGCTTTAATGTCACTGCCTAGGGGCTGCAACCCAGGACCCTGGCTGCAAAGCTGTCTATACTGCCCGTCCCTTCAGAGCAGCCTAGGCTGCAGGGGGACTCTGCCCCCACCCCAGGGCGCCTGGAGTCCCCACTGAACCTTTTCAGCACCTGCCCACTACATAGGGAGACCTCTCCAGGGCTAGTTGGGCCAGAGGGAGGGCCCTTGTCCCTCACCCAGGGGGCCTGAGGCTTGGCTCCACCCCTGTCCCTGTCACTGGGTCTCAGGTCAGTCCCCAGCAGTCCTGGAGCTGGGGTGTGGAGCCAGAGCCACCCAATCCCATGGGGACAGGTTTCACAATTTCCCGGATGGGGCCGTGGTGGGTCACAGTGCGGCCTCTAGCTAGGAGGATGGGGTGGCTTCCACTCCTGCTCCTTCTGCTTCAGTGCTCACGGGCCCCTGGTGAGTGTGTTCCCCTCTGCCCCTCCCTAGTCCCCGTGTGCCTTCAGGGAGGGGTCGGTCCCAGGCCCAGCCTGCTGTTTAAGCCAGGAGCTCACTTTCCCACCGGGCAGGGAACACTGAGTTCTCTGGCTTCTTGCACAGAGCCGGGTGCCCCCAGGAGCACAGATACACACTGCGTGCTCGGGCCCGCATTAGGACGTCTGCTGTAGCGCTGAGGCAGTGTGGGGACTGAGCGGAGGCACGCATGCAGGCAGTCGTCCCTCACCACCTGATCTAGCCTCTGACCTGGCACGTGCCCTCGTGCTGGTGAGAGGCCAGAACTGGAGTCAGAACACCTGGGTTGGGCCTCTGCCTGGGCAGTACGACTGCTCTGGGCCTGGCATTCTCAGCTACAAGGCGAGATGTAAGAAGTTCCATCGGGCAAGCAACAGCTCCCGCTGCCCCCATAGAATGTATGTTTCAGACCTGGGCCTGGTGCCTTGCCCGCGGAGCAGTGGCACAGGCAATAACCACCACGTCCCAGCCTGCTTCCCCCACCTTGTACAGGGACCCAGCCCTTGAATGAGTCCACGGGGTCTGTCCCAGAGCCAATAGCGTTGACCCCCTGAATGAACGAAGTGAGGGTGTGCTGGCAGACATGCACTGACACGCATGTCCACCCCGCAGGGCAGCGCTCGCCCTTGAATGACTTCCAGGTTCTTCGGGGAACGGAGCTGCAACACCTGCTACACACCGCAGGGCCCAGGCCTTGGCAAGAAGACGTGGCAGACGCCGAGGAGTGCGCACGGCGTTGCGGGCCCCTACTGGACTGCAGGTGAGTGGCGAGGGGACCTGGATGAGACTGGGGGCAGAGGAACCTGCACACTGAGTGAACCTGTGCCTCCTCCTTCCAGAGCCTTCCACTACAACGTGAGCAGCCACGGTTGCCAGCTGCTGCCATGGACCCAGGACTCGCCCCACACATGGCTGCAGCGTTCGGGGCGCTGCGATCTCTTCCAAAAGAAAGGTTGTGTGGCTGTGGAGAAGGGTGGCCAGGGACAGGGGTGCTGGGGCCTCGGGCCTCGTCGACGTGGGTCTCTTGCTCCCAGGCTATGTACGGACCTGCATCATGGACAATGGGGTCGAGTACCGGGGCACCGTGGCCATCACCACGGGTGGCCTAACCTGCCAGCGCTGGAGCCACAGGGTCCCCAACGACCACAAGTGAGAGGGACACCTCCCCTGTGTGCCTGCTGGTGGGTCCCTGCCCCCCGCATGCACTGCATTGCAGCTCTCTGCGCCCAGGTACACGCCCACACTCCACAACGGCTTGGAGGAGAACTTCTGCCGCAACCCTGATGGGGACCCCAGAGGTCCCTGGTGCTACACCACGGACCCAGCTGTGCGCTTTCAGAGCTGTGGCATTAAGTCCTGCCGGGAGGGTAAGTGGCTCCTCCCGGAGGCGGGAGAAGCGTGCCCACACCCGTCCACAAACACTCTGCCCTGTGTCTCCAGCTGCTTGTATTTGGTGCAATGGGGAAGATTACCGTGGCTCAGTGGACCGCACTGAGTCAGGACGCGAGTGTCAGCGCTGGGACCTGCAGCACCCACACCCGCACCCCTTCGAGCCGGGCAAGTACGCATGGGCGGGCTCCACACCTCGAGGGCCAAGCTAGGGGAGGGTCCTGGACTCCAGGACTGGGCTCGATATAAGGTAGTAGGATGGGGCCAGATACGGCCTGAGTCCCAGGACCTTGTTCACGCTTGGCTACGGCCCCTAGGTTCCTCGACAAAGACCTGGACGATAACTACTGCCGGAATCCTGACAGTTCCGAGCGGCCCTGGTGCTATACCACCGACCCTCAGGTGGAGCGAGAGTTCTGCGACCTCCCCAGCTGCGGTAGGTGGGCAGCGAGGGCCGGGCCTAAGAAGTGTGGGGGCGTGGCATAGCTGGGGAAAGGGGCGTGGCATAGCTGGGCGAGACCTTTGGGAGTGGGGTTCGGCCTCAGCCCCAGCCCAAACTCAGCTCTATCTCGGCCCCGACTGACCTGGGTCCATCCAAGGGCCCAAGGCACAGCCACACCAAGAAGCCACGACATTCAACTGCTTCCGCGGGAAGGGTGAGAGCTACCGCGGCACGGCCAACACGACCGCGGCGGGCGTGCCCTGCCAGCGTTGGGACTCGCAGAATCCGCATAAACATCGCTTCGCGCCTGAAAAATACCCATGCAAGTGAGGTGGCTGGCGACCTTGGGGCGGGGCTTGGAGGAGGGCGGGGCCTGGGGCGGAGGCGGGGCTCGGAGACTGGCTGGGACCCTTCTACGCTGATCAGAGCACCTGCCCAGGGACCTTCGGGAGAACTTCTGCCGAAACCCCGATGGCTCAGAGGCGCCCTGGTGCTTCACAACGCGGCCTGGTATGCGGGTGGCCTTCTGCTACCAGATCCGGCGCTGCACCGACAACGTGCGACCTGAGGGTAAGGCCTGAGCTGGGGCTAGAGGCACCTAGCCGCAGGGCTCCAGCGAGAAACGGCTGACAGCCGCCTCTGCCCGCCCGCCCGCCGCAGACTGCTACTACCGCACGGGGGAGCAGTACCGTGGCTCGGTCAGCAAAACCCGCAAAGGCGTCCCGTGCCAGCGCTGGTCCGCGGAGACGCCGCACAAGTCGCAGTGAGTTGGTTGGCGCCTCCGTCCCGAAACCCTAACGCCACAAGCAGTAATCTTTCAAACTGGAGTCTGGTGGGGATTTGGGATTTCCCTGCAATGAATTTGCACCTCCATCCATTTAGGTTCACGCCCACCTCTGCCCCCCATGCGCATCTGGAGGAGAACTTCTGCCGGAACCCTGATGGGGACAGCCACGGGCCCTGGTGCTACACTACGGACCCGAAGACTCCCTTCGACTACTGTGCACTGCGGCGCTGCGGTGAGTGCCGGTGACTCCCGGGCCGCCTCCCACCTCCACAGCAGAAGGCTGGCGGTCTGAACCGGGTGAACTTGGCTCTTTCAGATGACGACCAACCGCCGTCCATCCTGGAGCCCCCAGGTAGACCTGGACCAGTATGAGTGGGGGGCCCTCTGCCTCCCTTCTGCACACAGTGGGGTTCCATTGGGCCCACCCTGTACCCCCAGACCAGGTTCCGTTTGAGAAGTGTGGCAAGAGGGAGCCTCGCCTGGACCAGCGTGTCTCCAAGCTGCGTGTGGTCGGGGGCCAGCCTGGGAACTCACCCTGGACAGTCAGCCTGCGCAATCGGTGAGGCACACTGGCCCGTGTCCCCCACAGAGGGGCAGAGGCTGGCTCCTCTGTGTTTGTGCAGTGGAAGGCGCGAACCCGCCTCCCGCCTCAGAGATCCCAGCTGAGAGGTGACGGGCTCACCGCTCCCTGCACTGACCCTTGTTTCTCCAGGCAGGGCCAGCACTTCTGTGGGGGGTCCCTAGTGAAGGAGCAGTGGGTGCTGACTGCCCAGCAGTGCTTTCCCTCCTGGTGAGCCCCCCTTGGGTTTGGGGACCCGCCCAGTCCCACCCTCCCGCCTTCACCTGCCCCGGGCAAGCCGACAGGTGAGCCTCGGGGCAGCAGACTCTGTCATGTCTGAGCAGAGCTTCCCCCCCAGCCACGTGCCTCTCCTGGGCTATGAGGTCTGGCTGGGCACCATGTTCCAGAACCCAAAGCCCACGGAGCCGGGCCTGCAGCGGGTCCCGATAGCCAAAATGGTGTGCGGGCCCCCAGACTCCCAGTTTCTGCTGCTCAAGCTGGAGAGGTGTGTGAGTCAGACAGAGGGTGTGAGCCGGGGCTGTGCCAAGGGGCCTCAGGCCCTGAGTGCCCTCATTTCTGCTCAAGACCTGTGACCCTGAACCAGCGTGTGGCCCTGATCTGCTTGCCCCCTGAGCGGTATGTGGTGCCTCCAGGGACCAAGTGTGAGATCGCAGGCTGGGGTGAGACCAAAGGTAGGAGCGCAGGGCGAGGCCCCCGACTGCTCAGGCCAGGAGGCCCTGCCCTGGACCTGCCCAAAGGCCCTCCCTTCTTGCCATCCCCCCCACTGTAGGTACAGGGAACAACTCGGTCCTCAACGTGGCTTCACTGAATGTCATCTCCAACCAGGAATGTAACGTCAAGTACCGCGGGCGTGTCCAGGAGAGGGAGATGTGCACTAAGGACCTGTTGGCCCCTGTGGGTGCCTGTGAGGTCAGTGGCAGGGGCCCTGGCAAGCCAGGGGAGGGTGTGGGAAGTTGAAAATGCACTTTGTCCCCAGGGGACTAGTCTCTGGCGTGGCCCAGGCCCCTCACCAGCTCTCCCACCTACCAGGGGGACTACGGAGGCCCACTTGCCTGCTTCACCCATGACTGCTGGGTCCTGGAGGGAATGATAATTCCTGCCCGAGTGTGTGCACGGCCCCGCTGGCCAGCGGTCTTCATGCGCGTCTCCGTGTTTGTGGACTGGATTCACAAGGCCATACGGCTGGGCTAGGCCTGGCCTCAGGTCCGAGTGCCGCGGGAAGGATGAAGCCTCCTGGCAGACATAAAGCTGCCTTTCCCCTCTACGCCCGTGTCGGGTGCTTCTTAGTCTCTGCTTCTAGGGAGTGAAGTGGCGGCTCCTTGCTAGGGCCTGGGGGTGGGGGGTGGCTTGGGGCCTGTGTACCCTGGGCTGCGTGACTTGGGCCCTCGGGCTCCCTCGGCCTGTGGTGCTGTGGAAGAGCAGGGCCTCACTGGTCCCCTACCAAAACGCTGGGAGAAGGGTGGTGTAGGGCAGTCTCTTAAAA